GAAATGACAGAGACATCTTGCCTTGTCAGTCACCTGAAGTTCTTCTGTAATCTTCCATTTTCAGCCCATAGGCCATACTGTGTCTGGCAGACTCTTCAGCAAAGCAGGAAACATTAAACTGTCTTCTTCTTTTATTGGCAGTCTGTCAGTCACTTTTCTCTGTGCCCTGCAGACTGTCCTGGCAGACTCTCCCATGAAGCAGGAACTCTGTAGCAATGTCCATCTTGAATCAGCAGTCACTTTTCTGTGGGTCCTGATTGTTCAGTTTATACAGCATAAAGTCAAACAGTCCAGACAAGAGCAGTATCTTGTCTAAATGGCTGGTCTTGCCATATTGAAGTAAGCTCCATAACAACTTTTTCCAATGTTCATCTTCCTTTCTGGTGCAGGTGGTGTTGCCAGGAGTATTTATGTCTCACTGTCAAGAAAAACCCTAAACCATTTTAAATGCCAAATTCTGTAGGTCTTTGAAAGGTTTGAAGAATGTCTATCTATCTCAAATACATCTCTGTGTATCTTGATAAACTTAACTAACTTAACTCTAAGCTTTGACTATCATAGGTAATTATTTATAATCTGCACTACATTATACATTACATTTATAAATGAGCTATTATACACATCACAGAATTGACCTTAAACTGTATCAATAAATGAAAATCCATTCCAAAACAAAGTATTCATATCTATATCACCTCACCATTGCATAAACCAGGCATCATGACCCATCAGGTAATCTGCTACAGTCTACTCTCCCTACAAGCTTCATCCAGCTTCATTTCCTGTCAGCATCCCAGACATTCTCTAAACAGCTCTTAAGGATGCTCCTATGAGTGATTCACTGGCAGCTTCAGCCAATGATAGTCAAGGCATTGTGGGCCTACTTGTTGGGTTTTCTGACTGGGAAATTACAACATATTATCAACAAACATGTGCTGGAATACTGGTGTGTGAAAGACTTTGTTTTATATTATAAATGTTTATAATATTAGAAATCATTTATATCATTAGGAGTCATTTTATCACTATACTTTCTTGTTTTGACTGGTATTATTTGGCTTTGTTCTATGTCTCTGGGCTATCTAATGACCCAAGCAGGATCAGGCATGGTCTGTCTTGTGAAGTGGGCCTTAAGTCAAATCAGTTATTGGTCGGTTACTCCCACAAGCCTTGTGCCACCATTGCCCTAACATATCTTGCAGATACTACACCATTGTAGATAAAAGGTTTGTGGATGGCTTGGTGTTTACATTTCTCTTTTGACAGCATACAGAATACCTTCCTGTACAAAGACACTAGAACATGGGGCAAAAGATCTATGTAGACACCAGCTCAACATCTTCATGTTCAATGAGTTACATAGAGGTTATTTTCAGTTAGAGGGTCTTGTTAGGTCTCTTTCTTTCCCTAATGTTTGGTTGTTTCATTTGGATCACCTTCATATATGTATAAGTTTTAGGAGGTTTTTACTATATTAGGTTTCTGTAATACCTCTCCATTGACCTGTGGTTTTAGCTGTCTCTCTCCATATTCTTTCCCTTTACCCTCTCTCTCCTTCCCATGCCCACTTGATCCCCCTATTCTACCTCCCCATATATCTATAAATATCTATTCTACTTCTTTTCCTAATGAGTTCTAACTATTCCCTCTAGTTCCTTACTTTATATTTACCATCTGTAGTTCTATGGATTATATCTTGGTAATCATTCATTGACTTAACAGCTAAAAAACATGTATATACAAATATATATCGTATTTGTTTTTCTGGGTCTATGGTACCTCATTCATGATTATTTTTCCTAGTTCCACCTATTTGCCTGAAAATTGCATAATGTCATTTTTTAGTGGCTGAATAATAATACTCCACCTTATGAATATACCACAGTTTCTTTATCCATTCTTTTTGTCCAGGAACACCTAGATTATTTCCAATTTCTGACTACTATGAATAGAGCAGCAATGAACATGGTTGAGCAAGTGTCTCTGTGATAGGCTGAAGCATCCTTTGGGTACATACGCAAGAGTTGTATAGCTAGATCTTGAAGTAGATCGATTCCCATCTTCCTGAGGAACCACCACACTATTAAGCTTGAACTCCCACCTGCAATGTATGAGTGCTCTTCTTTTCTACAGCATGAGCTGTCACTTGTGGAAAACTGATTTTTCAAAATAGGTCTTACAGGTAAAAAAGGATCCAGAAAGCTTGGTGTGCTAGTTCGCTGGACCTGCTGTGATAAAATTGCTTTGGACTATAAGGAAGTTTGTTTAACCAATAAAAGTTAATTGTCTCATGGTTCTAGAGGCTGGAGGTCTGAGATGAAAGTGTTGTTGGAGTTTGTTTCTCCCAAGCCTCTCTCCAGAATCACGATGTCTGTCATGCCCATGTATCCTCACAAGAGCCTCTTCTGTGCATGGGAATCAAGATGTCTCTTACTTTGCTTAGAAGTACAGCAGTCACACTGGGTAGGTCCACCCTTAGGGACCTCATTTACAAAGTATTTCCTTGAAGTCTTTATCTCTAAATGCAATCACATTGGATGCTAGGGCCTGAGCATGAGATGGAGCTAGTGTAGGAGTCCACATACATGTAATGTTTACTATGTGAATCTTTCTAGATACAGAGGTAAATAACAAAAAGCTTCTGTTTTCTTGGAGTTTTCTTGACAGTGAGAGACATGGAAAAATAATAAACACAAATACTAGGAATACTATAAAAATAGTTCAAAGTATGATAGGGTGCACAAAGAGTGACCAGTTGGTGAATGGAATTTGCTAATGGAGACTGGGGAATGGTCTCTCAGATGAGGTGAGACCAAAATGAAAACAGATGACCTTTACCATGTTCCTAATCTGTGTGGTGGACGCTATGCTTAAATTCACACCTGCCTTAAAAGCACATGGAAGTCTGTGTCTCTGTCAGAATATGGCACAATCCTCTCAAGCTGCTGTGTGAATCTGAGGGCTTGGTGGTATTGTCTAGATCTCCCTATGGGAAGAGGTGATGTTTTTAGCATTAATTATTTCAGCTCCAAGGGGCTATGACCTCCAAGATGCACCTCATATGGGCTTCCTTGCCCCTACTCACACTCAAAATGTAATGAAAAACAGAACTTGAGGAACCTTCAGATCTTCTGATTTCCCTTGACTTGTTAATAGGTGGTTAAATGATGTTCAACCTCCATTTTTTTGTTTTCATATTTTCATTTTAAAAATTTTATGATTTCTTTGAGAATGTCATACTATGTATTTTGTTCTTGTCCTTGCTGCAAGATTCCACTTAAGTCCTCCCAAGCTTTGTGTCTGGTGCATTCATGTATAACCAATGAGCTCCAATTCATGCTGCCCATATACCTCTAGATATGAGAGTACAGAACTTGGTTGATCTACCAGGAGCCACACCTTTAAAGAAAACTGACTTGTCCTCTATCAGAAGTCACCAACTGTTCATAGCTCTTCAGCTAGGGGTGAGGACTCATTAGCTTCTCCCTGTCACATGCTAAAATTAACTGGTTAACTGGTTTGATCTTGTGCAAGTTTTGTGCAGACAAACACAAATGCTCTGTGTTCTTGAGTGCCGTGATCCCGTCATATCCAGAAGACACTGTTTCCCTCCCATCCCTCCTGACCTCTGGCTCCTACAATCTTTCCTCCCCTTCTCCCAGCTTTCTGAAGGGAATTCAGAGAGTGAGAGCAGAACAAGGGGTGCATATTCTCAACACTTCAGCTTAGTGCCATTTATAGTTCTTCTCACCATCTTCTTTAAGTGAAATAAGAGCTAAGGATGATAAAATTCAAGTGTCCACATATGCTTAAAGATAGTTGAGAATTTTGCCATAACCTTTCTTATAAGATGCAGTGTGCAGTTTTGGGTGTGCTTGTTTTACTATAAGTGCTTTATAAGCCCTGATTGCAACTGTAGTAGTATTTTTTCCTTTGGTTTACCTGGAGTCCATAATAACAAAGATATTTGAAGGAAGCCATTGTCTTTCAGCTTATTCTTCTCTGCACTGTATAACCTGCCATAAAAGCATGGAATGGACTTTGACACCAACAAATAGAAATGACAGTTGCATCAGTTGAGACCATAACCTCATAGACTTTCTACATAGACTTTCTATATAAAACATACAAATTTTTTGAACTTTGCAGCTGTGATTTAAGCTATTATATGCTGTCAGAATAATGTGTCTAACAGTAAAATAATTCTAGTCTTACAGACTTCTCCCAAGGTTACCTTCAAAAATAAGAGCTGTGAAACTTCAAGAAAATGTTTTCATTTTAAATGCTAGGTGAACTATTTCTGAGTTTTTGTTTCTTTGGGACATAGGTTCTATCTTATTTTAAACATATATGTTGGACTGGGAATATTCAAAACATCATATCATGCTTCTGCAACCATTGTCCTTGACTCATGGTTATATGTGGTTATTTCACACATCTTATGATACACTAGCAAATAAACTATTATTATCAGTGTACCATATATTTTTATGTTGTGAGTTGTTTTAATAAATGACAAGGGAAGTTCTTAGAGAGTCATAAAATTCCAATGGATTGTGTGAGCCTAGAAATGGGCCTGTGTGTCCTTGATTCTGAACCTATAGATTGTTCCCATTGCCTACTGCTATCCACCCCACTAGCATTATCAGTATCTGGAACCATTACTGAACATATATGGGTGTTCTTGAGAGAGACAATGGGAAAAGGATGACCCTAAGATCTGCTTCAGTCATATGCAAATCCTGGGTCACAGTCATACCACTTTCCATCAACAATGTAGTCCTCTGTAATTCTGAGAGAACAGCAATCAGTGCTGATTTTAATAAGCTAGTAGTTCTTCAAAGAGAGAAACAAAATGATACACTCTGTTTAAGGCAATGTCACGGATAGCAATTTGTTATAATATATGTAAAGTGGGAATCTGGGTAATTACTATCCACCTACACATTATTCACAATTTTAAGTGATTTTTTTTCTGTTTGACTCATAACCTATTATAGAATGAATACCTAAATGAAGATGTGGATGCTAGAGTTATTGAATATGAAGACAACCGGCCCCTCTTAGACATGTTTCTACAGAAGCCAATGGGTTTATTGTCCCTGCTTGATGAGGAAAGTAGATTTCCCAAGGCCACTGACCAGACTCTCATAGGTGAGTTTCAAACCTGGAATGACTGTATATATTTGTGAAGGCACCAGGAAAGCTGCACTGATTTTTGTTTTAAATGATTTGGAATAAAACAGCTGTCACAGAACTCACAGTATCTAGTTTTCAAGAAGTGGAAATCTAATGTCTAGACCAAAGAGCATTTATTGTAGGGTAAAATTCATAGTGGTGGATTAAATAAGTTGGCTATTAGATTTCTGCTTCCTTTCTGACAGTCTCAAATGTTGAATCTTGAAATCACCATATATATTATCCAACCCTAAATCAGAAATTGGTGGGCAGAACAGAAAGACAGCTCTAGAATGTGAAAGCAAATAGTGAGCAGAAAGAAGAAAATCAGTGAACAATATACGTGTGTGTGTGTGTGTGTGTGTGTGTGTGTGTGTGTGTGATGTAGAGGTGTGGGGAAGTGCCTACTTGGATGAACATGCTGAAGCCAGAGGTCAACTTCAGATGTGTTCCTCTATCACTCTCTGTCTGAGTTTCTGAGACAGAGTCTCTCATTAAACCCGAAGCTCACTGTTTCACCTATCCTGGCTGACTAGCAAGCCTCTAGACCCATCTGTCCCCACCTATGGTCCCAGTGCCATGATTATAGACATGTACCCTATGAGCTTTTATGAGGGCTCAGGGAAATAGATCTCAGGTCCTTGCCCACTGGGCCATCTCTCCAACCCCTACAACAAACAAAGAAAATTTTATTTTGATATATCTAATTTATGTAGATTTGGGGTATTAGTGATAAATTTATCACTATCAAAACAAAACTGTCACAGGCTGGGAGCTCTGCTGGTAAGAGGTATACTTGCTTAGAATACAGTAGAGTTCCTAGAGGAATGGAACCCATAGGGTGAACATACATAACAAAAAATTAAACATCACAGCCAGCATGGGCCCAAACCCCGAGTTTGATGGCTAATGTTTTGTAAAATGAATTTGGTGGTACATGCTTCTAATCCCAGTAGTCAAGAAATAAAAGATTGGAGGTTCAAGGTTATCCTTGGCTATATAGCAAGGGATACATGAGACCCTATCTCAGAAAAGAAGTGGTTAAAATGTGAAGGTTCAACATAAAATATAAAAGAAAGAAGACTTTTGAGTTGTTAAGTAACTGAAAAAGTCAATATTCCCTTTTGTGGAGGTATTCATAACATACATGTAAGCACTTAAAGAAAGTTTAAATTCGTTTTTTCTTCCTCATTTACTTTTGACCAGTGTGGTATTGCTTTCTCCTGATATAAGTTGTTTTGTCTCCTGGACACAAAACAAAAAAGGAAAAAGTCTTTATTTCATAGGGGAAAATAATTTCACAGCAGGTGCTTGATTGTTAAAATGTTCATCGAAATTGGACAGCCTTTATGAACCCATTGTATTTGTGTAATCAAATAGGTAGGAAAGCCACACCATCAGGGTTTTAGGTTTAGAGTCTGGAATCACAGTATGGCATTTACACCAGGAGTGTAAGGAGTACCAGGAGCTAATGAAGTCTTGGCTCCCTCTCCAGACCTATAAGGTGCTACTGCACTCATAGGGTGTGGCCTGCACCATCCTAAATGCCCCTGCCAGTCTGCACATCCACAGGTGCAGCCCAGCCCGATGGCTAGCACCTCCACAGGTGCTCTGGGTGACTCTGACCCATTCTGACATTTGAGACCTACTCTAAAGTAAAATGCAGTGATAAACACTTGACTGTGAATTTTTCCTTGCCATTCCAAATATTTATGACATCAACTTTACTTGAGGATCTCCTGTATGCTTAATTTTGGAGTTCAATTTTCTTCTACAGAGAAATTTGAAGACAACCTGAAATCACAGTACTTCTGGAGACCCAAAAGAATGGAGCTTAGTTTTGGTATTCATCACTATGCGGGAAAAGTAAGAACTCATGGGAATTGTGACCAACTCTTCAGCCTTCTATCAAGGAAGTATATTAAATTGACCCAGACTGTTTGGAGATAGCTACAATGAGGTGGCCCTGCCATGCCTCTATCTGGTCCTGGTTCTTGTCTACCTATCTTTCTAGTCATCCAGTCTGTCTGCAATAACCAGCTGGCAGTGGTCACCTGTATTTTACTTTTTAAAAGAATACCTTAGGCATTTTCCAGAGCTGTCTCTTACTTCTCCTCTCTCTCTCTCTCTCTTCCTCTCTCTCTCTCTCTCTCTCTCTCTCTCTCTCATCTCTCTATCTCTGTCTGTCTTGGTCTCTCTCCTTTCCTTTCATCTTCTCTCCCTCCTTCCCCCTTCCCTACATCTCTTCCCTCTTTCTTCTCACCCTCATTCTTTCAGTCAATGCTCCCTCCCTGCCCCCAGATGTGTGGAACTAACACATATAAAAATTAAAGAAGCATTCATACATTGGTTGAAACACAGATGCACATCTGTCCAACCAGATATGTTGTCTTAAACCCAAGTGACACTCTCCCTTCTGTGGACAATAATGGGCCATCCCCTCAGAACTATACCATAATTGTTGAGGTACAAAGATGATTGAAATCAAGAAAGAATGTATAAAATGAGAAAATCATTGAAAAATAAACTGAAAAGTCCTATGTATTTATTCATTCGGTCACTTCCAGAGGCCAAAGAATGTCCCAATGACCTTCGTCATTAACAGTATATCCCCTGAGTTGAGGGACTGGAGAGATAGCCCAGTGGTAAGAACACTGCCTGCTCTTCCAGAGGACCAAAGGATTCAGTTCCCAGCACCCACATGGCAGATAACATCTATAACTCCAATTCCAGAGGATCTGTTACCCTCTTCTGGCCTTGGTGGGCACTGCACATATATGGTACATGGACATGCATACAGGCAAAGCACACATACACATAAATATTTTTAAATATTTATTTTATTGTATGTTTTCAATTATATATATTTTAATATATAATTTTAATCATTTATGGCATATATAATTTCATATACATATATTTATTTTCATTATAACATCTATTTGACTTACCAAATAAAAGCTGCTTTGGCCACCAATTAAGAATTGCCTATGGCTATTCTATCCAGTTGTTTTTAATAGGTATGTTATTTGGTTCATTAAAAGAGAATACCTCATGCTGAATGCTCCAACCTAAGAAATGTATTATTATTGTTTTAGATGCCGAAAGATTGAGCCCAAGATGCCCTGAGCAGGGCTGTTGCCTAATGAAGCCTCTTCTGGCTTGTAGACAGCTGTCACCTCCCCCCAGTCTTCACATGGTCTTTTTTTTTTTTTTTTGTGCGACTACAGAACATCTTTAACATAATAAGTTCTGGAGGGACAAGATCCCATCCATAACAACACATTTGGACATTGGTTATCCACCAGAAATCCATGGGATATGTTCATATTTTTAAATTCTTAAAAATAGTTAGAAGTTCCAGAAACACATTCCCCTACTTAGTGCAGTCTCCATGTTAGGTAAGACCTATCATGTTGAAGTCAGGAGAGCTGAACCAGTTCTCAGAGAAATAGGGATGGTTCTTCTATGCTTCCCATCCCCCCAAATAAGGGAAATTTACAATTTTTCTGACCAAATGATAAGGAATTGCATGCATGGTCTTGTGTGTGCTGCTCAGTATGGACTGAGCTCTGAGTGAGCGCTAAGGATGACAGTGACGGCTGATGGCATGGGTTGTAGAAGTCACTGCAACAACTGTATCAACAGGTCCTCTATAGTGCTACTGGGTTCTTGGCGAAAAACAGAGACACGCTTCCGACTGACATTGTGTTGCTTTTGAGGTCATCAGAAAACAGCGTAATTCGGCAGCTTGTCAACCACCCTCTGACCAAAACAGGTAAGGCAGTTGACTTTTGTAAAGGTTCCTCTAAGCTCCACCAGGTGGTCTCTATCTCTGTGGTTTATTTGTGACCATAGTCCTTGAATTTTTATGTTTGCGTATTTTCAATTCACTAAATATTCACTTATTCCTAATTTGAAGGAGGCATAAAAATTAATATAAAGAAGACAGACTCTTGTAAAGGAAAATAATTGAGACTCTCACCAGAAAATATGGAAGTGTCCCAGTTTCTCATGAAAAGAGTTCACTCTCCTCAAACGAAAACCCACTGTTTTCAAGTGTGTGGGTGGCAGTTAGACAATCCCTAGTGTTCGTGAGTTCTCCATTAATTAAGTTCATATTATCTTACTCCTTATTCCACTCCCCCTTATGCATCCTCACTTTCATTTATTAGGGGAAACATATATGATTAGGGTTTTTTATATTGTAGTTTAAATAGTTCTGCAAACTTTTTAAAATTTATTTATTTTATGTATATGAATGTTCTATCTGCATGTCCACCAGAAGATGGTATCAGAACCCACTATAGATGGTTGTGAGCCACCATGTGGTTGCTGGGACTTGAACTCAGGACCTCTGGAAGAGTAACCAATGCTCTTAATCATTGAGCCATCCTTCCAGCTCCCACATTTGTAAACTCTTTTATAGTTTTATTAATGTATAACTGAAATATCTAGCCAATAAACTTTTGTTTTTACATATGTAAAGACCTTATATATGCATCCCTGTAACTGATAGTGAGCATATTAATAACACATATGATGTCCCTCACAACCCCTGTGATCTCTCCTTCCCTCCCCATAACCCTTGTCTGGTTATTCAAACACAAATTGTTGAAAACTTTATTCTCCCTCCCTTAAATTGCTTTTACATCCTTAAATGAATATATATGTATGTATGTACTTATAAAATTCTGTTTCTGAACTCTTTATGTGCCATTTTATTAAAATGCTTTAAAGTGAGCCGTATTCAAACTACAGGGTATGACTCAACAGCAGCCTAGCTACGAATAATAATTGTGGCTCAAGGCCAAGTCTTTCACTGCCTTGAATGTACAAAGCACACATCTGAATGTTAAGATTGAAATTCATATTGATATCACCCATGCTTGATTTGCAAAAAGCACTTCATGAAATGTTAGGACTCACTGTGAAGTCCATCTCAAATTAAAGAAAATCTCAGAAACCACTTAGCATAGAGATGCAAAGCTAGCTGCTCCTTCATCACCATCTGCCCATATCTTCTAAAATTGAGAGGAAGCCTGTCACTCATGTCCTAATTTATCATATAGTAGGTTAGTTTTCCTTTTTCTGAATTTGGGACATGTGGTAGCTGAGCGTAGTAGCACATGTCTGTACTCCAAGAATCCAGGAGGCTGAAGCAGGAGTATGCCATGAATGTGAGGTCATCCTGGACTATGTAGTATGATCTTCTCAGAGACAATAAAGAAGAGCATGAGGAAGAGGAGGAGGGGGGAGAGGAAGAGGAGGGGGAGAGGAAGGGTAAAGGAGGAGAATGGAAAAGAGGGGGAGACAAAAACAAAACCAGAAAATGATTTATTGTAGCCTTTAAGCGGTGGGGCACACCTTTAATCCCAGCACTTGGGAGGCAGAGGCAGGTGGATTTCTGTGAGCTTTAGGCCAGCCTGGTCTACAGAGAAAGTTCCAGAACAACCAGGGCTAGGCAGAAAAAAAAAAGACTTATTGTAGTTTTCACATAGTATTCTTTATCCTTGTAACCAATCTTCTGAGTCTTAAAATACTCAGAATACTTTAAACAAATGGGGAAATTTTCCAGCCACTTGGGGTTCTAAAAGATAAATTCATTTTACTTGCATTTCCATAGGTAATCTCCCACTTTCTAAAACTAAAAATATATTAAACTATCAGATGAGGAATCCAGAAAAATCCACAAACTTGACCAAGGTAAGACTATTTATCTTACGGTTACTTTACTGACAGCAGCTCAAACACCAGAAATATAGCTTTCTGGTGTATTTCTCTTTTCAATCTTTAAATTTTATATTTTTTCTAATAAAAATCTATGTGTGGTTAGTGTCAGAAACATTCATGTTCTGCACAAGACCAATCAACACAGACAATGCAACTAACACATCAGTCCTTAAAGTATGAGTATCAATAACTGTGCGGTTTTGTGCTTTTGAATACCTAGACTAAGGTAAACTGATGAAACATGCCTTGTAGATTACAATGTGCAGAAGGTGGCAAGACCTTACCATCTTCTTTGGTCTCCTTAGGGTGAAACTAAAGACATCACACGCCATGCCTGTGAAACCACCAACATGAAAACTCAAACAGTCGCATCATATTTTAGAGTAAGATATTAAGTTATGGTATTCTGTATTTAATGATACTGTTCATTCTAAATTAGTTACATATAAAAAGTGGTAACTGGCAAAAGACAACATTTATTACACCCATTAACTGCATCGGTACAAGCTTTGTTAGCATATAATTTCATCTGTAGATTGCTTTGTCTTGGTATTTTACCTGTAAAATAGTGTACCCTATGAAAATCACAATGGAATTCTATAACTAGATTAAAATTTTTCCATGTAAACTGAACACAGTGGCACTTGCCTTTAATCCCAGCACTTGGTAGGCAGAGGCTGGCAGATCTCTGTTAAGTTTAAGACTAGCCTAGTCTACATAGCAAGTTCCTGGATGGCCATAACCACATAGAGAAACACTGTCTCAAAACAGTGTCTATATAGCCAAATGCTTTCCCGCTGGATTGAGAAAAAAAAAAAAAGAAGGAAGAAAGAAAGGAAAGAATTAAGTGAAGAAAGAAAGAAAAAGGAAGAAATGAAGGAAGGAAGGAAGGAAAGAAGGGAGCAAGAAAGGAAGGAGGGAAGGAAGGGAGAAATTTTAATTCAATGTCCCTGAATGGTTTTAGGATGAAACAGGGTGGGCAAGGTTGAGTATGGTTCTTAAGCCCATATTTCCTTGCACAAACACAAGCCGATACCTTCAGCAGGAGGAAAGAGCCCAGTACAGGACCAGTGCATGGAGGAGACTCACCAGAGGCACAGTAGTACACCAAGGCATAGGAACAAGGTGACCTTCCTTTGGACAATATGGGAGAAAGAAAAGAAAGGAAGCACTTCCCTCCCTGTGTGTTGAAAAGCCTGAGATAACCACTTTTAGTATAGTTCCAGTTTTCACTCACTTCTTCTGAATCAGCCAGCCAGGACAATGGAGAAAATACCACCTAAAACTTGGCAATTACTAATAATATCACTTAGTATGGAAGATGTACATGCAATCAGATTAAATTTGCTATTCGTTGTCCAATGAATTTATGCATTTTTCTAACACAATCATAAACGACTTTTTAAACTGGATACTTGTGTTACATATTCACAAAGCCCTAAGTTCGTAGCAAACACTTTATAAAATCCTACTTGATTTTACATGTAGATGCTGAAGGCCTGTGTCCACTCCTGATAAGTCCCTATATATCATCAAGGCAGCACATAAGAATCACTAAACATACTTACAGCCAGAACAGTTTACTTTCTAGTGAGTTGTCCACACCATTACTGTACTACTGTTGTTAGCATCGAACACTGTATGTACGTTAAATCTGATCAGGTCATGAAATCATTTCAATGTTCAGGCTGAAGCAAAAACTGACAGAGAACTGATTCCAGGCAGTATGTAGTATGTTCTTAAGCTAATTTTTATTCTGCTAATAAGGATGGAAGGAGGGTGACTGTGCTTTAGTCCTAACAAAACCTAAGCCTCAATTGTGCAGAAAGCAAGCAGGCATTGTCACTTTTGGATCCCAGTGCCTGGCAGATGTTTGCATGACTAAAGGAACGATGACTCACAGGTAATATAATGAAAGGGCTCCAGAGTGGCAGTTGCAGCTGTTTGGTAAGATCCCATGTGATCTGGTCCCCAAGAGGAAAGCATACAAAGGCAGCAATTTGGCAGCTGTCTAACTTCAGTATTTAGGTTGCACTGGCCCTGTAACTCTAGATGTTTGCATTTCTTTTTCTTATTTATTTATAGATTGTTTATTTGATCCTTTGTTTCCAACTTACTTTATCATCTTTTTTGTGAGAGTTGAATTTTTCTTTTTTATCTTTTTTAAAATTTAAATTAGAAACAATCTTATTTTATATATCAATCCCAGTTCCCTCTCCCTTCCATCCTCCCATGTCTCCCATTGACCCCCATCCCATCCCTCTTCTGCTCCATAGAAAGGGTGAGGCCTTCCATGAGGGATGATCAAAATCTGTCATTTGGGGACAGGGCCTAACACCCCCCCCATCCCCTCCCCCATGTATCTATGCTGAGAGAGTATCCCTCTATGGGGAATGGGCTCCCAATGTCCATTCATACACTAGGGATAAATACTGTTCCACTGCCAGGCACCCCATAAATTGTCCAGGCTCCTAACTGACACCCACGTTCAGAGGACCTGGTTTCCCAGCTATCAGTCTGGGGTGGATGAACTCTCCCTTTTTTAGGTCAGCTGTTTCCGTGGAGTTTCTTATCCTGGTCTTGACTCCTTTGGTCATCACTCCTCCCTCTCTACAACTGGATTCCAGGAAATAGGCTCAGTGCTTAGCTGTGGGTCTCTGCTTCTGCTTCCATCAGCTACTGGATGAAGGTTCTAGGATGGTATATAAGGTAGTCATTAATCTCATTATAGGGGAAGGGAATTTAAGATAGCCTCTCCACTATTGCTTACATTCTTATCTGGGGTCATCCTTGTATTTTCTAACACTAAAAAACCCAATCCTCCATGCTGTGTCTACTCACTGCCTTGCCAAGAAATTCTGAGGTTCCACGTTTATTGAACTCTGTTCATTCTAATAGGTTGTTCTTAATTGTCCAGCTGTTATTTTAACAAAGCACTGGTACAAAATACAGTTGTAATATCTATATTAATAAAAATATTCTCCCCAAATCAATAAGATAATGAATGAAAACAGTAAAATAGTTAAATGGCTAATAATTTGATTATTTTCATATGTGTTCTATTTTTGAAACTAACTTCTCTGCCCTAATTGTAAAGTAGATGATTCCAACAAGTGATAAAATGTTTTTTTATACTTTCTACAAAGACAGAGTAAGACAAGAAAATTAATATATAAAGTAAATTAACTAAATTGTATATCTCAATACTGTAACTTGGTATGTTTGTTTGAGAAGATATAATTGCTTTAAAAAGTATGCAAAAAAATAAATGTATCACTTAATGCTGCCTTAAGAGCTCCTAGGAAAACTTTTTATAGACAACCTCCTAGTTATTGCCTCTACATTTCTATCACAGAATCTGTAATTTTTAGATGAATTCCTGTCCATTATATCAGATCACTTTCCACTCACTGTGATTAGCCATTTGTAACATTAATTCTTAAAACTGCAACCTTGTAATAAAAATGAAGATCTACAAATTCGTACTTTTTTAAATGTCATACCATGAAATTAATTTCATGCTGTATATTACAGTATTCCTTGATGGATTTGTTATCTAAAATGGTGGTGGGTCAACCTCATTTTGTGCGTTGCATCAAGCCAAATAATGAGAGGCAGGCAAGAAAATATGACAAAGAGAAAGTTCTACTACAGCTGCGGTGCACAGGGATTTTGGAAACAGCCAGAATTCGAAGGCTCGGTTACTCTCATCGGATACTGTTTGCTAACTTTATAAAGAGGTATGTGGATTACTTACATTTCCTTTGTGTGGTTAATATTTTTTAAAACAGGAGAACTGTAGAATGCAAAATTGTGGAGAACAGTCTAGGGGGACTATGGAAGAAGCAAAAAATAAAACAGTAGAAAGAGGAGAATATAGTTTTTTTTTTTTTAAGTTTCAAATATACATAGACTTTATTTGGTCAAACTGGCACAATGACAGATTTGTGTAATTCTGCAATGTTTTGAAATCACAAGAGATTTTTAGGTCTACAAAAAGCCTCTAGAACATTGAGTATAAAATGAGGGAAACTTGTGATTATGAACCCAAAATAGTATGAGAAAAGTTAATTTTTAGTTGAGTGTTTACCATGTTACACAACTTTTAAAAAGCTTGGATGCTAGAATTCTCACTCATTTTTTTGTTATTTATTTATTATTTTTTATAACAAAGTCCATTTAAATGAAAACAAACATTTATAGACAATATTTGGGAATTTGGGCATCATTCTTTCCAAACTACTTCCTGCTGGTAAGGGGCGCTGTCATGGGGGATTCTAAGAAGATGCAGAAATCCTGGCTGTAGTTTGAAAGGCTGCTTTGTCCAGCTGTTTTGAATGTAGGATCACTTGGTACTCTGTTTCAGGCAGTCTGGCTTGATCAAACCACATTAGTCTGGAAGGAATCCATAGCTTTTCATTTTCTGTGGAAACAAAAATAGAAATCCTTTTCCCCAGTAACTTGTCCTTGAAATTAAATTTTTGAATCAGAGCATTTTTTTAAATTTATTATTTTACATGTCGATCCCAGTTCCTTCTCTGTAACGAGTATGGTTTTTCCGCCCGCCGCCTGGTCTTGTCCTGCGCTGCGCCAGCCCCAAATAATACACAGAGACTCTGTATTTGATACAATGCTATTGGCCCGGTTACTTGTTTCTTATTGGCTAGCTCTGTCTTAATTATTAACCCATTTCTACTGATCTATGTATTTTCATGTGGTCTTCTTACCCGGAGCCAGCTTCTGCATACTGCTCTCTCCAGACTCTCCATCTTGACTCCTCCTTACTACTTCCTATTTCCTCCTTGTCTCCTAGTCCCTCCTACCTCCTTTCCTATTGGCCAACAGTGCTTTATTATTAACCAGTATGAGAAACATATATACATAATGGCATCTCCCATCACTTCTCCCTCCCTCCCTTTTACCCTCTCTGCCCTCTCACATGCACCCTAACCACACTCCCCTTACATCCCCCCCCCACTCCAATTCCATATGTAGGGGAATGCCATCCAGTTGGGGTCATGTAGATCTGACAGGTCATGTGTAGTAGGGACTAGGGCTTCTCTCCTCCTCTAGGTTAAAGCAGTTATCCCTCCATGGGGGATATGTTCGCAAGGTCCTTTTGTGCACCAGGAATACATCGAGGCTCCACTGTCTGAGGTCCCTTAGACTGCTCAGTCCTTCTGGCTGAGACTCATATTCAGGGGAGCCTGAGTCAGTCCCATGCTGGCTTACCAGCTATCACTCTGGGGGCCCATTAGTTCCTCCTTGCTCAGGTAAGCTGTTTCTACATGTTTCTGCCTCCTGGTCTTGTCCTCTCCATCTGCATCTGGGTTCTAGTTCAACGCAGTGTTTATGTATGGGTATTTTCTCCAGTTTCCAACAGGCATTAGATGAGGGCTCCATAGAGAAGTTAGTTGTTGATCTCACTATCCGGGAAGGGCATTTATGGTAGCCTTTCCATGGAAGCTCAAATTGTTAGTAGGCGGCAGTCTTGTAGTTCTCTAGACCTTTCTTTGTGTTCAATTTTATCTTCAAACCAATATTGGCTCCTCTTTTATGCTCTCTCTCTCTCTCTCTCTCTCTCTCTCTCTCTCTCTCTCTCTCTCTCTCTCTCTCTCCTGTCTTCTATTCCTAACTGGGCTCAATCTTCCTGGTCACACATATTTTCCTTTCCTCTCCCTTGTTTTCTCCATTTGCTACCCCCCCCACTTCCCCTGTGCTCTGGGGGACTTGTCCCTTCCCAGTTCTATGAGAAGGGACTTTATATGAATCTCTTAGAATACACCTTGTATCCTAGTTCCTCTGGTGGTGTGAATTATAGGCTGGTGAGGCTTTGATCTAGGTCTAAAATCCATATATGAGTGAGTACATACCATGTTTCCCTTTTTGTGACTGGGTCACCTCATTCAGGATGGTTTCTTCAAGATACCATTTTTTATTTCTGCAGAGTAGTATTCCATTGTGTAGATGTGCCACATCTTCATTATCCATTCTTCAACTGAGGGACATTTAGGTTGATTCCAGGTTCTTGCTATTACAAATAGTGCTGCTATGAACATAGTTGAACAGATGTCTTTGTTGCATGGATGTGGATCATTTGGCTATATGCCTAAAAGGGGGATTGCCAGGTACTATGATAAACTAATTCCCATTTTCCTGAGGATCCGCCATACTGATCTCCAAAATGGCTGTATGAGTTTGCACTCCCACCAGCAGTGGAGGAGTGTTCCCCTTTCTCCACATCCTCTCCAACATGAGTCATCATTGGTGTTTCTAATTTTAGCCATTCTGGCAGGAGAAAGATGGTATCTCAAATTTGTTTTGATTTGCATTTCCCTGATAGCTAAGGATGTGGAGCATTTTCTTAAGTGTCTTTCAGCCTTTTTGATTTCCTCTAATGAGAATTGTTTCTTCAGTTCTGTACCCCATTTTTAATAGGGTTATTTGGTGTTTTGTTGACTAGTTTCTTGAGTTCTTTGTAAATTTTGGAGATCAGCCCTTTGTCGGATATAGAATTGGTGAACATCTTTTCCCAGTCTGTGGGCTGCTGTCTTGTCCACTGTGTCCTTTGCCTTACAGAAGCTTCTAAGTTTGAAGAGGTCCCATTTATTAATTGTTTCTCTCAGTGTCTGTGCCCCTGGAGTTATGTTCCAGAAGTGGTCTCCTATACCAATTTGTTCAAGAGTACCTCCTACTTTCTCTTCTAAGAGGTTCAATGTGGCTGGATTGATGTTGAGGTCTTTGATCCGTTTGGACTTGAGTTTTGTGCATGGCAACAGACATGGGTCTATCTGCAGTCTTCTACACACCCTCATCCAATTGTGCCAGCACCATTTGTTGAAGATTCTGTTAGCCTGTGTCTTTTTATAGGTGAGTTAAGACCATTAATGTTGAGGGTGAGTAAGGACCATTGATTGTTGATGCTTTTTTGTTTTAGGTTTGTTGTTGGCAGTGGTATTGTGAATATATTAGTTCTGCTTTACCCTTGGTTTCTGGTGTAGTTGGATTATCAGTTGCCTACATTTTTGTGGGCGTAGTTACCTTCCTTGGGTTGGAGTTTTCCTTCCAATACTTTCTGTAGGGCTGGATTTGTAGATACATATTGGGAAAATCTGGTTTTGTCATTAAATATCTTGTTCTCTCCACCTATATTGATTGAGAGTTTTGCTGGATATAGTAGCCTAGGCTGGCATCCGTGTTCTCTTAATACTTTTAGATCATCTATCCAGGACCTTCTGGCCTTGAGGGTTTCCATGGAGAAGTCAGGTGTAATTTTGATAGGTCTGCCTTTATATGTTACCTGTCCTTTTTCCTTCGCTGCTCTTAATATTCTTTCTTTATTCTGTATGCTAGGTGTTTTGATTATTATATGTCGAGGGGTCTTTTTCTTTGGTCCAGCCTATTTGGGGTTCGGTATGCTTCTTGTACTTTCATGGGCATGTCCTTCTTCAGATTTGGAAAGTTTTCCTCGATGATTTTGTTGAATATGTTTTCAGCACCTTTGAGCTGGGCTTCCTCACCTTCGTCTATGCCTATTATTCTTAGGTGTGGCCTTTTCATGGTGTCCCACATTTCCTGGATGTTTTGTGTTAAGGATTTGTTGGATTTATGATTTTCTTTGGTCGATGAATCTATTTCTTCTAGTTTATCTTCTGCGCCTGAGATTCTCTCTTCCATCTCTTGAATTCTATTGGTTATGCTTGTGTCCGTGGTTGCCGATTTTTTGCCCAGCTTTTCAATTTCCAGCATTCCTTCTGTTTGTGTTTCCTTTATTTTCTCAATTTCAGTTTTCAAGTCTTGAACTGTTTCCTTCACCTGCTTAATTGTTTTTGTTTTTGTTTTTTTGTTTTTTTTGTTTTTGTTTTTGTTTTTGTTTTTGTTTTTTGTTTTTTTTTTTTTTTTTTTTTTTTTTTTTTTTGGTTTTCTGTACTTTCTTTGCTTTCCTTAAGGAATTTGTTAATTTCTTCTACTTTTTGTTTGTTTTTTCCTCCACTTCTTTAAGGGATTTTCTCACATCTTCTTTGAGGGCCTCTATCATTTTTATAATTTTTAAGTCATTCCCTTCTGCTTCCTCTGCTTTGTTGTTGTATTCCGTTCTAGTTGGTGTAGATTCCCTAGATTTTGGTGGTGTCATGCTTGTGTCTTTCTGTTGTTAAGTGTTTTCTTGTATTGCCGTCTTCCCATAGCTTCTTCCAGTAGGTGTTGGTGGGGTCCCCCCCCTCTCTATGGTACTTCCCCGGTGGGCTTTGTGGGTCAGAGATTCAATATCTGTAGTTCTGGGTGGTCCAAGCTCTATAGGAGGTCTCTCCGCAGACAGGGACCCAGGCATGGGGTCAGGGCTGAGGATCCAGCAGAAGATGCCTCTAGCCAATGGCTCTAGCCAATGACTAGCAAAAGAGGACAAAGACTGAGCTGTAACTTAGGAAGTTTTTGCAGGATAGTCAGATCTCACTGGAAACTGGAACTCTCCAGCTGAGGCCTCTTTCTTTAGCAGAGGCCCTGCTTTGGGGGTCAGGGATCTTGCCCGAATATAGCTATTGTTAGCTGAGTCTGGGAAACTCTGTTGCGCTCTGGGAAGTCTCTATGATGGAAAAAAATGCATGTGAAAGGCTGGAAGGTCCAGGGTCTATGGATCTGTACCAAAGAGCAAGGAGATCTGTGTTCTCAGCCAAATGCTACCATTTGCTATGTGGCCATGGAAGCACACCAACAATTCTCAGGTAAGAGAGACTGCGTTCCTCAAAAGATTCTTAGCAATATCTGGAGACATTTGGGGATGCCATGCCTTAAAGAGGGTACTCTCACCTAGTGGGTAGAGATCCAGGATGCTGCTAATCATCTTGCCTGCAGCAGAGAGGAAAACTCACAGAGCAAATTTCTCCAAACCCAAATGCCAGCAGTCCTGCGCTGAGAAACCCTGTCCTTGTGGCTCCTTACTTTCTTCACCTCCTAAGTCTGCTGTGACCCTCTGATAGAACCGTTATAATGATCAAATCGAGCAATGTCATGTCTATGGAGATTTGGCAGATATAGAAAGTCAATTAAATTTATGTCGATTTAATCTTTTCTAATTTAAGAAAGAATCCACTAGGTACAAAGAGTTCTTAACATTTAAAATCAGTGTAAAGTTAATTTTTATATAGTAAGTGTATTTTAAGTACTAAATTAGTGGTAAGCTAAGGTTCAATATTTTAAATACTTAATATTTTAAATGCCCATGTTTATGATCGTTATCAATCCTGTTGTTTCTATTCATCAATCATCATATTTAAAGAAATTTCAAGTTTTATATTTAAAGAAATTTCAAATTTTAGACATATTGCAGTTTTTCAGGCAATTTTAAACAATTCTCCATCTATAAAATTCTATAATCTTTTTTTCAAAGTATGTAAAGGAATTTTAAGAACACTCCCCTGCTCTCCCCTCTCAAAAAAAGGAAAGAAAAGAAAAACTATACTGTGCTAGTGTAACTAGGGTAGTTGATAGTCTGTCACTGTGCCTAATACCTGAGAGAGGAAACTTGATAAAGGAGAGATTTGTTTGGGCTCAGGGCGTCATCATTTTCACTCCATGGTCACCTGGCTATGTTGCTGTGGCAAAGTAGACACCTCATGGTAGAAAGGCGTAGTGGAAGAAAGCAGCTGTTGTTGTGACAGGAAGTAGAGGGAAACTGAGAGGAAGAGGGCAGGGACAGGAAAGGTGTGTCCTGCAGATAGGAGTATGAGTACATACCTTTGTATCTTCAGGTAGCTCCTTCCTCCAGTGGAACCCAACTACTAATAGCAGTTTCATTGACAAGTTATGCATCTTTGTGATCTAGTTACCTTTCAGCAGCAACACTAAATCAAACTTCAAAACCTGCACCTTTGGTGAAGGCAGGCACATGACACTTCCTCCCCAACCTATAGCAGTGTCTAAGATCCATATTTGATATGTAATTCTTCTTGCTGATTTTCTTGTTTTTCAGCAATTCATCATAGCTTTGAGGAAGGAAGGAAGGAAGGAAGGAAGGAAAAGTATTTTTTAGAGTGCCCTGAAATCAAGAACACCCTACCACTTTTCATTGTGTGTGTGTGTGTGTGTGTGTGCGCGCGCGCGCGCGCGTGCGTGCGTGTATTACATTTACATTCTGAATTTTATATTAGAGGACTTTCATGTAAGTTTAAGACCGACTGACCAACCTAATAGATTTCAATCTTAGAGATCAGAGATTGAATTGACTTGACTTTCTATAGCTCAGCCCTAAATTTGTATATAAATGAAAAAGTTTAAAATATTGAAATTTTTACTTAGCCAGTAGATAAATACTCAGTTTTGTCCATGAAAGTACTTAACTCAAAATATTAGATGTAAATGGAGTTTCGAGGTTAAAATTAAAATTTGATTGTATTATCATATATTTCTTCTGTCATGAGGAGAGTAGACCTTCTTAAATGTTAATATAAATATTATTGCAATAATATCTCTGAAGTAGCACTCTGACACCAATGAGAATAGAAGAGAGGAGATGTATTCACCAGTGGACTCAACCTAGGACCTATATCTCCCGAAAGGCTTCAGTCGAAATCCAGTTTGCATTTACATTTTATGTCATAAAACCACAAAGTGGGGCAATCAATCAAGTGGAACGTTTTCCAGAAGCAAAGTATATACAGCAATTAGCCTGGGGCCTTTTGTTCTTTAAATACATATGGCAGATATAAGCGTTTGTGGCCAAGTTGCTAAGGGTAACAACTGTTTTGGGTTTGGGTTTTATTTTTTTTTTTCAAATGTTTCTCCAGGTCGCTCCGTTCCAGGTAACAAGTGAAATCATGCTTGGCAACATGTAGTACATGAGAGACTTTAAGTAAATCACTGAAAAAGCCAATAAATAAGTATCTAATCATTGCTCTTTTCTAACTTATTCTACATAAATATTACTAATATTGTATATATGTATGCTAAGCTACTGTGCTAAGAGCTGTGGAGACACGGTTTTTAAAACTGGCTTATCTTCAGTAGCTGGAAACCCAGTTATGATTATCATAGTCAAAGACATGGGAAGCTAACAAGCAAGGCAAAGTAGTAAATGGCAATTTCAAAAGACAGGTGTGCACAGCATAAGAGTTTACAGAGGGAAAAGGCATTACATTAAAATGTCAAGGTCAGGACCCACAAACCAGGATCTGCCAGAGCATACAGTTATTTGGGCAGACAGGAAGTGTGCCTTCATATGGGAGGTGTGCTGTAATGACTCACCAGGTTTATGTATTCAATCAAAACTACTCACCTCAGGAGACTAGGGACAGAAAAAGAAATGAAAAGGAAGATATTCAGGTCCCAATAAATTGGTGTGCCAAAAAAACCTCAGAAGACTTGGATTAAGTTGGATTGGAAAAGCAGGCATTAGAGGAGTAATAGAAGAGGAAATAAGACAACCATTTTGAAAACATATGAGCTTTATGCTTTCAAAATAGCCAAGGTTTTATAGCACAGACCACAAAGAACTATGTATCCATTGTGGTGATGATGCTTTGTTTGTAGGTAAGTTGTTTATTTTGAAATTAAGAAGTGAAATGTGATTCTCCTCCCATGATTCAAAGCCCATGATGCTATAGAATAGCAAATTACTAGATGATAAATGAGAAAGAAAGGGGTAAAAGCTATGGATTAATGAAAAAAAAATCAGTTTTCTAAATAACACAAAGTTCCAGAATAAAAAGGATAACCCTTTTCTGTAAGTTGTCACCCAAATTGGCAGCTGTTTGGCAGACAAAACATTTTTTTAAAAGGTCTTCTGAAGCTCTAAGTGGGATTGGCTAGCCGCTGCCTTGGCAATGACTAACCCTACTTGGCTGAAAAATTCTCCAGGCCCTTTCCTTAGTGATTACAGGTAAGCTTTCCTGCTTTGTGACAAGCAAATGACCCTAAGGAAAGGTGCCCAATATGGACTTACTTTGCCCTGAGTGCTATGTATGTTAATCAGCTTTTTACCAATCATGGTGAACAACCTGAAATGGCCAACTAATAAATATAAAAGGTTGATCTAGGCTTACAGTCCATTGATTGGATCCATGACTGTGGGCCTATTGTACTATATCACACTCAGATGGGGTCAGTAACCTCTTCAAGGACACATCCCCAGTAACCTGAAGGCCTCCCACTGGATGACACCTCTTATGATTCCCACAGTCTCCCAAAGGCTGTTGTTCCACAGAACAGGTCTTTGACACATGGGTCATGTAAGCTCTGAACTGTAGTGCAGGGTAATTGCTGGCTTTTTTATTTATTTGTTGTTGTTGTTTGGTTTTTTTCTGAGGGGGATGTTTTTGTTGTTGTTGTTCAAATGAACCATATTCTAAGATCCAGAGAAATTAGCTCCATCTTATACTGATACCTATGCACAAGCCCGGTTTGCAATCCCCTAAGTAGAGTTCATTGATGACAGGATAGTATAGTAGATTCTACTTTGCTTTCTGTTGATGTGACAGAAATCACTTTGGGGAAGACAGTGTTTATTTTAGCCTACAAATTATGGTCCATCATTGAGGAAGGCCAAGGCAGGAACTCAAGGCAAGAGCTTGAAGGAGGAACCAACAGAGAGACACTATTTAATGACTTGTTCTCAGGTTCATGTTAAACTAGCTTTCTTGTTCAACCAGTCTCACCTGCCTAGGGATCACACCACACACAGTGGGCTAGGCCTTCTTATACCAATTAGCAATCAAGAAAACACCCCCACAGACATGCCCATAAGCAAACCTGATGTAGGCAGTTAGCTCTTCAACTGAGGTTTTCTCTTTTCAGGGTGTCAAGATGACAACCAAGTATAGCCATCACAATAAGTACTCACACTTTAAAGCTTTAAACCCCAATTCCATCATTTATGAAATATTGAACCCCAAAGTGATTGAAGTTTTGTAGGCTTTCAACTTGATTTTTCAATAATCTGTACACTCATACCATAAACATTCTACTTTCATGTGCCTGTGAGTATTAAAAGATTCCTTTTATATGATGTTTATGACTAGAACCAAATGGAGAGCAATCACAGGAGTGAAAATACAGATTGCTCTGTCTGGAGTTGTTTCACTCTGGTGTCATTAGGGGGACATATGAGAGCCAAGCATTAAATGTGGTAGTCTCATCCCTTCACCATGAAAAAACTTCTAGGTGGCGACCACTGCTGAGATGTTGGATCACTGTACAAACCAACTAGCCATCTTTATCATTTCAGGTATTATGTTCTCTGCTACAAGTCGAGTGAAGAACCCCAGTGAGCCCAGACACATGCGCTACCATTTTGGAAAAGGCTGGCCTTGATAATTGGGCTCTTGGAAAAACAAAAGTAATGTTTTCATGTAATTTTCATGGAGAAATGATTAGTGGATTTATAAGAGTTGTAATATCTTACTATTATTGAAACTAATATGATTTTTGTTAGAGAATATGTAAAATTGGGCATGAAACTTATAATGCATAAAGACTTCCTTCATGAAGATAAAACATTTTTGATCTTTATAAAACCTAGGACCACTTGCCTAAGGATGACACCACCCACAGTGAGCTATGTCTTCTTATATCAATTAGCAATCAAGAAAATGCTCCACAAACATGCTCATAGGCAAAGTTGATGCAGGCAGAATGAGAAAAAATTTATTTCAAAGATTTATCCAAAAGAAAAACCCTAATGACACTGGTAAAAACCCTAATGGTGCCTCAAATGGTATTGTCAACAAGCATATATTTTTCTATAGGATGGACCAGGGTCTCACTGTAAATCCCTCACTGGCCTGAAACTCTTTTTATAGTCCAGGCTGGGCTTAAACTCACAGAGCCACACCTGCTACTATCTCCAGTGATGAGATTAAAGGCAGGTACTGCCAGTCATTATTTTATCTACTTTATCACTTCCAAACAGTCAGAGAGGTAGCATAAGATCAGAATTGGGATTCTTGTTCTTCTCTTCTTTTTTAAATTCTCACTTGGTTTCTATTATAAACTTGAAATTTAACTAAAGTAAAATATTTAACATCATTATGAGACCCACTGTATGTTTGAGTAGTGGTACATATATTATAATTTTGGGGAGCTTGGGGAATCTTCTTTAACCACTTAGAGAACAATTTCTTAAAACATCTTGAATATGGAAACCAGACAAGCTGCTGTTTGGAGAAAGGATACATTGAACCTAGCATGTCCTTAGAGACTCTTGAGATGGGTAAGTCCCAGTGCATTCTAAATGTGTCTTGGAGGTATACCAGATATACCCCAAGACAGGATGGGAAAAGAACAAAGCTAAAGAAATACTCACAGATTGACCATTCAAGTATAGCTACTGTCAACTACCTCAAAAGGACCAGAACAAAATGCCCTTCTTTACAAAGAAATTTGAGTATTGTGTCTTGGGCATAGGAGGAAGGAAGAGAATTTCATGATGTTCAGAGGATGTTTTATCCAGGCAACAATTTTAGGGACTTTTTTGATCATCTGTCTTATACTCAGTAACACTTTTTATATATTTGATAAAGGAGAAATCAAGGTGCTCAGAGGATATATGTTTTATTCAGGCTATTTTCTTTAAAGATGCTCACAAAGATGAACTCTGTTAGGCTAAAACTTCTTCATTTATGGTCGGAAGTGCATGTGTAGCTTCAAATGGAGTTTTTAACTTGTGAAAAGGCCTTTTGCCTGCCAGTTCTGCATGATATTTAAGTAGCATTTTAAAGCTATTCATATTTTTCCACTTCACCTTTCCAGTTCATTAACATGGATAAAAGTGTTTAATATAAGAACATTACTAACACTATGCAAAAAAATTATGACCTTTTTAAACACATTGAATTTTAAATGAATTGTCAACAACAGAATGAACTAAATATATTAATATCCAGAATCCTGTAGAAATTAAAATTGAATTCAATCAAAATCCATAATACCAAACTGTTTACCTGTGGTGCCAGGTTTCCATGTTCAATGGCATGCTGAGAGAGTTCTACAGTTCAATTACTAGATCTTATGACTTAGCTATAACATTTGATTTTTAACTAGTTTTCTTGATGGGCTCAATGAACTCTCTGAAGTAATGTATGTTGATTAATTTATCCAAATAAATAAATAAATAAATAAATTCCCTAAAGGGAAAGAGTAAAGCTAAAAATCTTAGATGTGAAGAATGCCTTTGATCTTGAGGCTCCTGCCTTGTCCAAGTTCATGTCAACTTTAGAATGATCTGAAGTGGTTAGTTGATTCTGATGGGACCCTAGCTGCCTCACTTTCCCCATTGGCAAAGCCATATTCATATTTATATCTCCAGTCCCCTGCCATATTCATATTTATATCTCCAGCAGATAAAGAAATGCAATGTTTCAAGAATCATTTTGTGAGTGAACATTTGATGAATGAACTACCCTTTTATTTAGAGATAGAGTTGTATGATTTTTAAATTTGGAAAACAGTGTTGTCTTTAAAATGTCTTAAGCATAAAATGAGCTTAACCAAGAATGTATGATGCTGAATATTTGTCAGAAAGAGCTCAGACTCCCTCTTTCTTATTATCAGATAAAAAGAACCACAGAGTTGCCCAAGTCTTCCTTTTGCTTTCTTCTCAAAGACAAATTTTGTTTAAGCAGCAAAATCTGACTGACAGACAAGCCAAGGAAGCAAGTATGTCTTCCAGCCCCTAAGAGGTTCAACAAACAGTCTGTTCTTCAGGCATGGCACATAGCCCCTTTACATCTGTGTGCCAAGATCTTACTGTACTTTATTTTCATTCTTTTAAGGTGTTCCTTAAATATTATCATGTGGAACAGTTGAATCTAATGAGAAAGGAAGCCATTGACAAGCTTATTTTGATTCAAGCTGGTGTCAGAGCATTCTTGGGTTCAAGAAGATACCAAAAGCTACAGCAAAAGAGGAAAGACAGTGCTGTAGTAATACAGTCAGGTAATTACCAAGGTCACCTTGCAGTATAAAAAGCATAATGAGATATGTATATAGGTCATAAATTGAATTTTCTAGCACTTCCTGTGAACAGATCTGCAATTTTGTACAACTTTTGTGTTTATCTTAATACTACCTTAAATTAGATTGTTACAATGATTGACACTTTTAATATTTGTGTAAATGTTTTGTTTTAAATTAAATAATTGGAAGTTTTAAGTTTCATGTCAGGATTAATGAAATACAATTGACCAATACTGCTTGATGTGGCTAACAACTAGATTAATAATGGTATCAAGAATCATATTACAATACCATAACTCATTAGGCAATAAAATTTTCCCTACTCTATTCCAAAGGTTACAATTGTCATAATTTTTGACAATTTAATTAAATTTTATTTTTGTTAAAGGGCATCTATTCCTCTATATTAGCTCTGCGGAAGTGATATATAGGACCATACTTAATAATTTTTTATTAAAATATATTGATAGACTATGGATTTTGCTGGTGTTTTTTCCTTTACAAGCATTAATAAGATTTGCAACGGTATTTTTTAAAAAATTGACCAAATAACTATAACGAAAAAAATGTACTTTACTTTCACTCTGAAATTTTACTTCTGATATATTTTGTTTCAGGTGCTAGCCTAGGCTCACTAAATCAATTTTTAGCTCACTGACATACATGGCCACATTCCAAAGAACATTCATATGATGAACATTATAGACAACTTCCCAAAGACCCATGTCCTTTTCCCAGTTCCATCAGTCAAATTCCAAACAGTTAACTTCCCCTCAAGACACGAAAGTGCTTTAGAACCTCATCTTCAACTCTGAGCTCCATAAAGCTCTGATTTAAAAGATTTTCATAACTCACTGTCAGTTAAACATCACCAAGTGTTTGGTGCAGCCAACTAGCCTGATTTGTACCTGAGAGAGGGAATGAGGATTGAGAAAAAAAAAAACAGACTAGAAGAATACTGGGATCCACCCTAAGTTTATTATTCAAAGTTCTTATATACTCCAACCAAAAGGGGAGAAGGCAAAAGGACTTCCTTACCAATGATACAAGGAATAAACAGACACAATTATTTCCTTACTTCTCAAAACATCTAGTAACCATACCCTTAATCAAACTTCTTGTTATCTGGCCTTGAGGATTAAGACATCTAATAAGCACACCTTAGATAAAGTTGTCTGTTATCTATGGAAGACATCCAGTGACCACACCTTAGGCCAAACATCTTTCAATAGCCATACCTTAGACCTTTAGGTCTTAGGCCTTTAATCTTGAAAGAGCAAGGCTAGGTTTGAACTCTTTTACCTTAAGTCAATATGGAATGGAGCCCCAACAACCTGGTCCGAAGTGAGACTGTTTACAGTTATTAGTTCATTCCAAATTGTCGGAATGGTCTACTGTTGTGAAGAAGTGGTCCTGAGTTTTGCTTTGAGAAGCTATCCTGACAAGTGAATGTTCCTGGATATATAGTTACTCCATGTTCTTTTTCTAAAATAAAGGGAAACTTTGGGAACAGAATTCTAAAATATATATGACTCCCAGGATAATTGGTGAAAATGTCTGAACTTTACATGTAGACAATGAGGGCCTTCTCTGTGAAGAGCTGAACATAACAAAAAGAAGGTAATGTCAAGCAAAGGAGCATGCTGTAATCCATGCTCTCAGTGTCTGCCATTGTAGTCCCATGGTGATTGCATTGCTGTAGTTTATATCTAAAATTATGTTAATGATCCCCATTTGAAAAAAAAATACTGATCTATTAGGCAGCTTTACTTTTGATTTTTTTCTGTGACAATGATGGTCAAAACTACTAGTTTGCATTCGTTTAATGTACTTTTATTTCTTGTGCCAATTACTACTTTGTTCCTTATGTGTTTCAGCTGCAAGAAGACATCTCATGAGAAAACAGGGGAAAGAAACTGCTAAAGTAAAAAACACAGCAGTAAGGAAAAATTCAGGCTAATAATCAGGAATTTGACTACAGGAAAAACTTCGAAACTAAAAGGTACAATGATGTTCTTTCTGACACATTTTGCCACCAAGATGTTCCAAGGTCATTGAGTCATGTTTTCATCTTTGTTTTTCCTGTCTGATACTGATATATCAAATACCAGAGGCACTCAACCACCTTGTCTACTGGGGAGTTCGCGAACATCTTATACCCATGGTCACACTTTGATTCCCAGAGGGCTCCCCCACCTCTTGCAGTTCTACTCAAAGTTCCAGGTGTCCCTTGATAATGATTCTCTAGCTGCCCATAATAACATCTCCATCCCCATCTCAATGTCCCAAGCCCTCCCATTTATTCCAATGGCCATATCAGCCAATATGTCATCAGTCCTAATTGTAATCACCAGCAGCCCTTTTTGCATTCCCTGGGCCTTTCTATGCATATTTCAAAGTGCTTACAGAATCACAGGAATTCCTTTATTCAGTAGATTCCATATTAAGTAGTGGGATACAGAGATGAAAGAAAGAAATTCCTCATCCTCATGACTCACAGCATAATGAAAAAGAATATGACCAATAAATTTCTAGTAAAATTGGCTGGCTCTGCTAAAATATATATATATAAAAGAAAAGTATGGTGAAGCATTTAACCTGGTGTAATTGAAACCTTGAGTTCAATCCTCAGTATCACACAAAAAGGAAAACTGCCATTTGGCTATGCAAAGAGCATGGAGGATATAAAGTGTAGAGAATTCTGTCTTCATTGCTACAGATTAATGAAGATAAAATAGTTTGGGTCCAAATGGTAAAAGGAATTGATGAAAATATGAGTAAATAGTTCTCTAGAGATGTAAAGATCACTTCACACTCAGCCTTTATCTTCAACACAGAATTAGCCATGTAAAGGGAGAAAATAATAGGATGTCAGATCGTGAGTATTTATTTCTACAGTAAAATGCCCTTTTATGACTGCGGTGTTCATATGTGGGCTTCATACTGCTTGAAAAGGAAGAAAATGGTGTGCAGAAGACTTTACATCTCTGTCTTCAAATGCAGGGGAGAGCATTGTGTATAAAAAAATCATGGGTGGACCGAGAACACTGATTTAACTTTAGTTTTGCATGGTATTTTCTGTGATCACTGAGATTTGTGCTTACTAAAGATCAGTCCACAAGCCTGGGGATCACTCTGACTACCTGCTCCAAAACAGGGTGTATTTTCTATAACTTACTATATGTGCTCTTTGTTGTAAAGGTTATATTTGGAAATAATCAAACTTTTATAACATTCAACATTTTTTTCCATTCTTTGAGAATTTCATAGATGTATGCAATGTATTTTGATCATATCAATCACCTGTTTCCCTCCAATTCCTCTGAGAGACAGCAGGCAACCTCACTTCCTGCCACACTCCCTTCACAAACTGCACATCCTCTTTACATAGCTCACTGACTCCAATCAATGTCTTTATGTGCATGGATGCAGGGCATGCACTACCAAACAGGTGCCACTCCCCTGGAAAAAAAACAAAAAACAAAAAAACAACTCTCTCCATCCCAGCAGCTTCAACTGCCAAAGTTTCCCAGCTAGGGATGGGGCTTCATGTGCCTCTCCCCACCTATGCTGAAGTTTTGACTGGCTTGATCATGTGTAGAATTTTGGTACCTGAATGAATAGAAATATAGCCCTTCCCATGCTAGCCTGTTTCTCATTCCAAGTTGAAACTGGTTTTCTTATTCAAATAGCAACCCCAGAGAACAATTCATGAAGCACTTTATTAATGAGACTTCATTTGTGTTTATTTATTTTTTGCTTCATTTGCCTGTCTCACCATACAATATTGTGCATCACTACTAACAAAAGTAATATGCTCTCATTTAGCATGACCTTATGTCCAGATATGTGTTTTGCACAGGGAATCTTTTATGACAAAACAGACAGAAACGGCATCGTCTACTAATGAATCCAACATTTCCGCTCCCAACAACAAAGAGAGCTCATCTGCAGGAAGGACAGCTCCCTGTAGAGCTGAGGGGAAAGCCACCAATGTTGTTGAGAGTAACAACAGAAGACATCAGACTCAGAAGAAAATAAGCAATGTGTACGGGGGAGACCTGTGTGTTGTAGGGGACCCTAGTGCAGAAGCAAGCCCAAGGCAGAAGTATGTGCAAGACCTGGAAGAAAGCAGGAAGACCAGGAAAGAGGAAAAGGGGGATACTGTGATCCAAACTTACTGTCAGTGGTACACAGAGGGGAGGAACTTTGAAGGATCAACAGCAACATGTCTAGAAGGGAGAGAGACATGGGGAAAGCCAAGCTGCCCAGGACTGTGGCTAACTGAGGAGATTTACCTGAGAAAAACTTTGGATCCTAGTCTTAGCCAAAGGTCAGTCTATCAAAATGCAGACAGCAAAGAAAAAGAAAGAAGACATCTGTGGTTACCCAGAATGCATCACTATGCAACCTGGAGAGAGACTGTCACCTGAATGGCTTCCTCGGAGAAAAAAGACACTGGACCAGTGGAGCAGGCCCAGGAGGAAGACAAGGCTGCCCTGTTCATTCAGAACAAATACCGGGAATCCAAGCAAAAGCAACAGTTAGGGGAAGACAGGCTGTCACCACCCTTGAAGAACCAAAAGATTATTTCGTCACCCACAGAAGTAGCGAGAAATGTTCACAGTGTTTATTCCTGTCCTACAAAGCATGAGGGGACCCATCCTATCAAGGTGACAAATGACAGAGACTCAAAGGTGGCTTCAAAAAAAGAAGCCTGTGATTTGGCAATGTTTTCTAGACAGGTATGCATTTAAATTTATACTGATAAAAGTCTCTAGGAACTACCCAGTAACTGTTTAAACAAATAGTAAATAACTGAGGAAGTATTTTATCTGTAGTTATGAGACATTTTTAGTAAAATATATTGGTGGCTGCACTATTTAAGTAACCATGTGCTTTTATGCCCATTGATTGTGATAGAATAATGAATGAAATTATGATAACAGCCATGTGTTGTAAGATATCAGATGTTGGTTTATATCATTTACTGAGGTGTTGCCACTGGATAGTAGAAAAATTCATGTATCTGTGAGGGGTTTGTTGTTGTTGTTGTTGTTATCACTAAAAATGTGGGTTCTTTTTTTAAGATTTTTAAAAATTGAAAGCATAGGCTTTCTCCCTTCCCCAAATTTCAGTTTGTTTGGCATAATTAGCTATTAAAACCTGGTAGGAAGCTTAGTAGGGCCTCTGTTGGATGAACATGAAAGTCTCATAACAATAAGCAATTCTGGCTGAGAATGTGCCAGGGAGAGATTGCAGGACTAGCAAATGCCTATTCCTGTTTGCTCTTTCTAGGTACCTGGCCTTAAGAAAATGTCTGTCTGTGTCAACATTTTTACTTCATCCTAGGGAGAGTGACAGATATTAACTAGATGACCTCTGAAATACAAAAATTACCAGCGTAGTCAGTGGTCTGATACCACTGAAGAAATGCTGTACAGAAATTTGGTACAGAAGAAATTCTGTAGGAGGATAATGGATATCCCTGACCCCTAAACTAAGTTTTGTTCCCTGTGGGAGCTGCACCCTGAGAGAGCATTACACCTGCCCTGGATCTCTACCTTGAGGTTGGGCTCAACCATCTTTGCCCTTTAGCAATCAGTAGAGATCTGTGCTACTGATTAATTTTTCTAGCCCCTTCCTCTTCTATTTTTAAAAACCATTTTGTGAAGATACTTATTTCTGGTTTGAGAATATTTTCATTTTTTAATTTTATTTATGTATTTATTTTACATCCCAACTGAAGTTTCCTCTCCCTCCTCTCCTCCCATTCCTTCCTCCCACCTCCATTCCACAGCCCACCCCCCACCTGAATTCCTCCTCTTCTGTTTCTGTTCAGAAAGGGCAGCAGACTCTCCCTGGGTTTCAACAAAACAAGGTATATGAAGTTGCAGAAAGACTAAGCACCTCCCCTTGTGGTAAGGTTGGGCAAGGCAATCTAGTATGAGGAATAGGTTCCCAAGAGCCCATCAAAGTGCCAGGGACAGCTCCTATCTGTAACCTATAAGCCAGGTTAGTTGTTTCTGTGGGTTTTCATGTGATGTCCTTGATCCCTATGGCTCCTACAAGCCTCCCTCCCTTTCTTCAGCAGGATTCCCTGAGCTTGGGCTAATGTTTGGCTGTTGGTCTCTGCATCTGTTTCCATCAGGCACTGGATGAAGGCTCTTTGATGACAAATGGAGTAGTCACCAATATGATCACAGGAGAGGGCCAGCTTAGGCTACCTATCCATTATTATTAGGAGTCTTAGCAAGGGTCATTCTTGTAGATTCATGGAAGTTTCCCTAACATCAGATTTCTACCTGACCCTGTAATGGCCCTTCCCCTTTCCAGTCATCTCAGTATTCTCCACCTGCACTGATGACCTAAACCAATCTCTCAAGTTCCCATGCCCACCCAACCCCAGTCCACCCTGGATATCTCCTCTGTTTCCCCTTCCCAGGGAAATCCATGAGTCCCCCCCCCCTTGGGATCTCCTTGTTACCTAGCCTCTCTAGGTCTGTGGATTGTAGCATGGTTTTATTTTTAAGCTCCTGGAAAAGTGAGTTTTATGTGCATGCAATCTTTCTTTTCTTTGGTACACACATTTTCTCACCAAAGACCAAATCAGGTATTAGAAACCAAAGATGATGTGCACCTGGGACAGATGAAGAAAGGTAGAAATACTGGATAGCGCACTTCTAGATACAGAAAACCATGAGCCCTACACTCACCCTAGCAGGAGATCCAGATCTTAGGGAATGGAATGCAGAGAGGTACAGTGTGGAAATGAGGGGATGAAGCAAAGGAAGAAGAGTCCCAAGCCTCGAGTCAGCCAAGAAGACTGAGAGGAAATGGGAAGCCTTAACACAACCAAAGGCCAGTAGGGTCCTTAGAAATTTACCACAGCAACAAGGTAAGTGCAGAAGTCAGATCTGAGGAACCCTAGGAAGACAGATGGAGAGATGTTGAATGTAGGATTGCGAGTTTGCAACTTTTGATGAAAACATAACATGGACAAGAAGCCCAGAGTAGAAAGCTGTGTAAAGTCAGGACTTTATTAAACATGGGAACAAGAGTCCTGGTAACTCTGGGAGAAGAACTTGAGAGCCCCATGGAGTCTGGTAAGGAACTGTATGTTCCATGTGCCTGTGGAGCCCTGGGATTCTTGTCTCTGGTTTAATCTTCTATATGGCCTTCTTTTCAGATATCAAAGTTATCTGAAGAATATTTCATTCTGCAGAAAAACTTGAATGAAATGATTTTGTCACAGCAACTGAAGCCACTTTATCTCGGTATCTATCACCATAAACCAATCAATAGATGTGTGCCTACTCATCGGTACCTCTCAGGTAAAGATCAGTAATGATAGAGCTACCTACAGGGAAGGGAATTGCAGACTCTGTGTCTGTTTCTCACCCGGGTTCCGTGGTAGACCTGACGTGATTGATGTTCTGCATCACAGAACAATTAAAGCCTTTTTTCATTCTATTTCTTATAAACAGACACATGTTCTTTCAGAATGTTCTACTTCCTACTGTCTCTGATTCCACTCTCAGGGAGGAGGGGTCTTCATTATTGTCTCCCTTTTATACAACTTAACCTTAACCTGGCCTATGATGTCAGCAGAAAACAAGAGGTAGCTCAAAGAAGGGAGCTAGGGTGTTAGATTAATAAGAAAAAGCAAACATGAAATTTTCTATTTCAAGATTGTGTCTGCAAGAGTGTGGAGTTACATTTTCTTTTCTTTTTCATTGTGTTTATTGATTGTTCATGGTATTGTGCTGTATAAGAATGTATTCATGCAAGTATATGTTGCATACTGAGCTTATTTTCCCCTATAATTTTACCCTCCCTTTTCCCATCCTGTTAGTCTCCCCCTAGATGGCTTCATTTCTACTTTAATGTCATATGTATACACATGATTTCCTATACCTGTCCAAAGCATGGGAACCACAAATAAGAGAAATCATATATACATGTCTTTCTGGGACTGACTTAAATCACTTAACATGGTAATTTCCACCCACATCCATTTTCCTGAAAATGCTACATCTTCATATTTTTATGGCTGAAAATAATTGCACTGACTGCCTATGTTATGTTGTCTGCATCCATCTCTCTTCTGTTGAGCACCTCAGTTGGTTCAGTAACTTAGCTGTTTTGACAAATATTGATATAAGGTGTCTCTGATATGATGACTTGGGGCCTTTTGGGTAAATACCCAGGAGTGGTCTATCTGGACCACATGGTAGTTCTATTTTTAGATTTTTGAGAACACCCCATACTGATTTCTGCAGACAGTGGCTGCACTGGTTTTCATTCCCATTAGTAGTCCATAAGAGTTCTATTGTATCCACATCATCATCAGCATCATCCTAAATCACACTCTACCCCATCTCTGGAATTATTGGATCCCAGTTCTTTAAGGATGTGCAAAAGGCTCTTCTGTATCTCTAAAGGATCAGGCAGAGTTCATAGTCACAAGCCATTTGTTCATGAGTTATTATCAGGACACCCATGGCCCTGCTGTCCTCTACCATCTCCACAGTGGAGGCAGTATATCCTGCAAGCAGGATCAGAAAACCAGAAATGTGGTCTCACCCACGTCCCAGAAGTATCTCTGTGGCATATCCTGTGCTAGGGTGGGGTGAGGTTAGGGAATAGAGGGCTTCAGGTAGGGTAGGAGAATGGGAGATGTGGGGATGCTACTAAAAGCCTCAGGAGCCCTACTCAACGTTAGGGACCTGCTGACTCTTCAGGATTCTTCTGAGAACATCTTTTATTTCCCTTCACTTTCAAGCCCTTTGATCTCTTGACCCCATTTCTGTAATATGTAGCTCTCAGCAAAAAATAGGTAGTCACCTTACCTCGTGTAGCTTCTTTTGTTTTCCTTACCAAAATCTCTGAAGAAAACATAGTTGTTTGCCTGCCCTGGAAGAAAGTGACAGTATCTTCAAGTTCCTGTCAATCATCATGCCATATTTTTTGTTTTGAAGTTTAGCAAACACAGCTGTGCACTGAGCTGCCCTTGAGTGTTGCTACACTCCAGCTCCCTGGCTTTGACCAGAGCATCTTACAGTGGCAAGAAGAATAAAATCCCACAAGAGCCTATTAGGTTCACTTCTGCCCAGAGGGACTAGATAGGTAAGCAGTAACTATAGGTAGCCTCTAGGTGTCATATGCTGCTGAAGGTGCAAGTGATGTGGGGACTTGCAAAGCCAGGCAAAGGCCAGCAGTTTATACTGCCATCCACTGCACAAAAGGAAAGGTAGAAATGGGAGAGAGTCCTGGAGATGAATGTAGGTTGTTGATGTGCTGCCCATCCTTCTGCTTTGTTCTTCTTGGGAAGGTTGGGATGGCCTGAAAGCAGAGGCCACATGTCTTCACTTTATTCTTCAACATGTCATTGTCGCTTTATGAGCTTGCATGTACCAGGAAGAACACTGTAACTCAATAGCACTTCTTGAAGCCACCTGACGCTTTTGGTCCTTGAATGTGCAGATAACATAAGTTCTACTCTACCTCTTTGACATCCATCACACTCAGTAGTGCCTAGGAGAGAGCCCAAATCAGCAAGAGATCAGTGTCTGTGATGACTTGACAGGTCAGAGCCCAAGAGTAAAGTGTAAAGTTGGGAGATTCCTTTAAGCCATCAGAGCTACATGAGAGAAAATGGCCTCTCTACATCATTGCAAGGCAAGGAAGGTGCTCACATTTCACCTTACCTCCAATTTATATATGGTTCCAGTTAACAAAAGGGGATAGTATTAATATACTCACTTCAGATTTTAAGATAATTGAAAGCAACTAAGTTGAGCAGGATTTGTTGAAAATAATGCAAGAAAGCAGTGGTGAATGGTCCAATGAATACAGTTCTTGTACTGCAAGTGTGAGCACCAGGGTCTGGACCCCAGGATAAAAGAGCCTGGTGAGCGTGGCAGCCTGCTTGTAATACCAGCACTCACAAAGTAGAGACAGGATGTATAGAATGGCTAGCTAAACTGGCCAAACTGCCAGCTCCGGCTCATCAAGGAACCATACCTCAATAAATACGGAATGAGACACCCATCATCAGCTTTTGGTCCCCACATATGATCACACATACGTATACATTCTACACACATTCTTTTAAAAGTATTAGGAAACAGAAATGAGTACTAAGAGGTAGGAATTTAGTCCAGTTTAGCAAAAAAGGAAGTTATGTATTGTGTATCTGAATTATTGCAATGGTGAAAATGTCATTTTGTCCTATAAAAATAACTTCATTTTTTAAGACAATTCATTTTGTCTGGTATGAATAGAATTTGATAGCATGGAGAGAACCGTGGATGGTTAGCAAGAATAGCTAAAGAACATTTTTCTATCTATACTCATTGGTAAATCGCAGAGGATCGGGGTGCTTGATTGCATGAAAAAAGAAGTGAGTCAAGGGTTCTGACATGATCAGCTGGCCACTGCCATGATGAGAAGGACTCTGTAAAGAACAACAGTATGGTGTGACTTTGGAGCATGCTTCGTAGATGAATCATAGTTCATGAGCACAGATGGTCACATAGTTCCTGAATCCAGAAGTAAACAGGGTGGGTGCAGGAGTTAGGGAAACAGTGGGCAAGGGGAAAGGTGGGGAACTATGGTGGAAAAGGGTGCTTACTTCACTGCAGATCAAAGGCAGGAGAGAGGAAGAGACCTGCAACCCAGTAGCCCCCTCAAGGGAGAACCACAGTTACCTACCTCTTCCAAGTAGGCTGGGGCTTTACGGTGAAATTTTTAAGAACAAGAAGGGAAGAAAGAAGAAGCGAGAGAGCCTCAGATATAGACAAGGCAGGCAAAGGAACCAACTAAAAGGAGCAGCTGGAGAAACTGAGCACAACCAGGGAGCCTAGAACCTCGTAGACATGGGAAAGAGGACACTGTGCAGGGCATTGCACATAGCTCAGGGAGCAAAGAAGTATAGGAACCTGTGGGACTTCCCACTTAGTGGCAACTGCTTCCCTAAATTCCCCAGGTGCTGTTTGAGTATTAGAAAAGACATGGATGGAGAGAGGGCACAGATGTCACTGGGCTGTTTCAGAGAGATTTCTTCCTAGCATTTGTTAGTGTCATCTTCATTCTTATATTTTGGTTTTGGTTTTTGAGACAGAGACTCACTCTATAGCCCAGACCAACACAGAACTCATTGTGTAGCCCAGACTAGCCCAGAACTCACTATGCAGCTTGGGATGGTCTTGAACTTGTAGCATCCCTCCTCCTGCCTAAGCCTCCTGATTACTGGAATTACAGGTATAAGGCACCATACTAAGCTCATGTTTTCGTATGCTTTAAATATCTGGAGTTTTTTTTTTTCAGAAATAAAAATTTTCCCAGAAAGCTTATAACATTCATTGTGAAGTTTAATTGAGAATGCTTTAATTAGCAATTTGGGCCAGGTGTTGTTTGAGCACTGTGAACTCCCTAAAACTGAACCTGGGTCAGTTTTATCTTATGCTAGGCAGATCCCATCCTAAATTTTAGATGCTAATTTCCCTAATAGATCGGCATGTGTTTATCATGTGCCCACATTTAAACCCATAAGTCCACCTATCCATTTCTTATCCTTTCTATTCTGGTGTCTCTCCCCCAGTTATCTTTACACATCTTATTGACATCACAGGCTTCCCAAATGTGTTTGGGTACATATGGCAGGAACGGATTATCTGGACCACAGTCTACATTTACTTACCCCAAAGCCTTTCCCACTGTGTTTACACACTGTATGCCCATTTATTCATTGCACAGCAGACATCCAATAACTGTTTATTAATTAGCTAGAACATTGTTTCATTTCCTCTAAACACGATAAGCATAACAAAGCATAGTGCTCAGAGGAATAAGGCTTTCCAATTTTGCTTTTTAAAAAACAACTCACTCCTTAAATCCTTGCTGGTTTTCTTATATATTATTTGCTTCTAAGCTCCTCTGGTCATAGAATAAGACCTGATACAGACATTCTTAGTTAATCAGAACAGCTATTCACGTGTACAGGTCATCTAAGGAAAACATAGTAATATTTGAGCCTTCCTTTAACTGTAGAGAGAAGATGCAGATGGCTGATGTACTATGAACCCCTATGAGCAGTCTCAACAGGCTACTCCTGCCATGCACTTCCTGGCACACCCTGTACCTCTAAGGAAAAACCCACTTGGCAAACCAAATCAGGTTCATTTTCAAGTAATTCTACTATTAAAATAGCCTATGATACAGACTTAATTGCTTCATGCCTCAGAAGTCTGCAGCTACCTTTGTTAGTTGCTATACACAACTCTCTTTTAAAGAACTCAGTAAACCTCAGCTAAGTCATGTAAAAAGGCCT